GTTAATCTATTTATGGTCTTAGTCATAACATTTGTTATTAAGGAAGCACTTAATAAGGTCTGGCAGGCGGGGTTGGTTACTAAAAAGTACAACAAATATATTCGACCACAACTTATAAGAATACTTTGAAATTGTTTGATAAATTTAAAGTTCTAGATTAAAATTGATAACTATTTGTCCTTCATTAGATTAATCCAAACTGGAGTTGCGCAAGGTTGTCCGCTTGCTTTTAACTTTCTAATTCTCTGCAGGTGCATATGGATTATCCGGTTTCTGAGAGTAGAAATGGAAGATCAAACTTAATGGTGATTAAACAAAAGCAATTTTTAACTCGTTATTGTTATCAAGGGACTAGAATTCAGTGGTGTGATATTTTACAATAAAAGACCTGGATTTGACTCTTCGCAAAATTTATCTTATATTGACCATATCAAAACAAAGAAGGTTATCTGTGCACAAACTCCAAATCAGCAGTAATCTCTTTTTAAAAGTAAAAAGTTAAGTCGAAAAATACAATGCTCATATATAGCAAGTCATTAGGCCATTTTCTCTATGTGGTTGTGTCGCTTTTAGTAATGCCGCTAAATTCGTCTTTTAGTAATTGAAAAAAGGATGGATAAGGATGGATGACAAGAATTCAAAATTCACTGGTATGTCTGAAGCTCTGACAATCATAGAAATCTTTTTGTTGAAACTATCAAGTACATAAATGTCAGAGTATCTACACTTTTTCGAAAAATAATTTCTAATTCCAACAATTTCCGGAAGATTTGCCGTTATACTATCTGTGATACTTTGATTAAAAAGAAGGGGTGTTCCAGTAAAAGTGATGTGGATTGCAAGGATTTTCGAAGGTGATCATATGATGCGCATCCTAAGGAAGGAGCACTACTAAATCCATTAATTACTTAAAGTTTTTAACAGGAAAGTGAATGTGATAATAAAGTGTTATTAATTTTGTGATAGTCTTAATCAAAAATTACTTATATTGAGTTATTATTCATGTATGAAATAAAATTAGTTTCAAAAATGAGTATAGTATTCATGTGATACATTAGTAAGCGGTAAATAATTTATTAATAAAAGTTGTTTAAAATTCTCTTTCTAAAAGAAAACTTGAAACTTTTTAATACTTTTTAAGTTTACGTTTTAATAACAATTCTTTAAGGTTTTATTAAGGGTATCTGTTAAAGCGACAAAGCATGTTTTTTATTAGTAGCAATATCTTGCATAAAAATGATAAAAATTTCACATCAAACTACATACAAAAGGGAAATAAATTTAAGCTGTTGATGTACTTAAAAACAGAAGGTTAAAACAATAACATTGTTTCGCAACTGTTTTCTTCTTGAAGAATTTTATGCAAAAAATTCTACTCTGTTACTCTATAAAAAAATATAAAATTTCCATAAAAAGATAGAAAACGTACTGCATGGAAAATAAGTATGTATAATATTTATGTTTTTTAATTTTTTAAAGGTTTACTTGCTTCTACACGGTTGAAAACGTTTGCATAAAAGTGCATGCATTCGTAAAAAATATAAGAAATTGTTCACTACGTTTAAGTGGACCACCGTGGCGTATGAGTAATTCTAAAATTCAATTTTAATTTTCTGAAGTATTTTCTCAAACTATGCACAATGCGTTTTTTTAATAATAATCAAAAATGATGAAATGCTTTTTATAGTTTATTTAAAATAAATAAATTTTTATGTGTATGAGGTAAGCATACTAACACAATTGAATTTTATTCAAGATATTTCCACTTGATGCTTTTCTCATATGAGTAACACAGTACAACCTTTGCAGTTTTGCCTCACTTTCACTTAACAAGTGCATTAAAAATGCATAAAACACTTTGCAAAAAATGCATTTTTAAAGTGCACTTTTGTTTATTAAGTAAAAACGCATTTGTGGGCGTTGGGTGTAACTAAAGTGTGTATTTTTTTACTAAGAAATACTTTTTTTGAATAGTTAAGTGAATGCGGTTGCACAACAATTATTCTAAACTGCTTTATTCTTATAAAGTATAACGCGGTTTTTTGAGTATTCATTCGTTGCAGGAATAAAATTTCTATATGCAGTAATTAATTTATAATTTAGTTTTCGGGTGAATATTTTTCGCCTACATTTTCAAATCTTTTGTTTTGTTTTTTATCGCTTTAAGCTTAACACCTACATAAACTGAATAATTGTGCGCACCTGAAATGTGAGAGGTTCATTATTTGCTTCGTTGAGCACATAAGCCAAATCGCGTATTCCGCATCTGTGGATAAGTTATTTAACATTGTTTTGTGTGTATTTTATATTTCTTTTTAAATGTTTTATTTTCTGATGATGTGAATGAAAAGCGTTAAAAGAAATTTTTCCTAACTCTACTTTCTCTCATTGATCCGTATTATCTAGTTATAATCTGTAACATATATCACAGAGAACTGTGTCTCATTAAGATCAACTTAGGAACCATGGGATCTTGTCGTTCTAATTCCTAATAAAAATTGTATTAAAGGTTTAAAAATTAGAACTATTAACAAAGCAAGTAAACACAGACACAGAACACAGAAATTTCAAAATGTGAAGAAAATGGAAGATAGTCTGCAAAATAAACATACTGTTTAAAGATAATGTTTAGTTAAAATATTAGTAAATTTTTTTTTATGAAAATGTTTAATTCTACATTTGAATGGTACGATTTTTAATAATAAGTTTTTATAGCCATTTAGCAGGAAATCCGATTAAATATGTCCTTGTTTAAATTATTATAATAATTTTATCACCAGTACTTCGAGATCTGAATATTAGGAGTGTTGATTACTATACAAGGAGAGGTAGTACAGTACTACAAGAGCCTGAATTAGGGATATATAAATTCTAAGACCTTCGTGTCTCTATGTAAATATTTCAAACCGAAGTATTCGACACCCATTGCAGTCATAAACTTCTAGAAAAAGGAAGTCTATATTCTTAAGAACTATCCGGCAGGTACAACTATCAAAAGTAACTTAAGTTTAAGTAACTCATGTCATGTGAATATAGCAGAAATATATTTTGTTCCTCACAGGAAGAATTTGACAAATAATAACTTATTGCTTCAGTCCAACAGAAATTGGTTTATTCGTACTTCAACTGTGAGGTCAATGGAAACAGAACATCTTTTGTGTCAACTCATCTAGGCTAATTTAGATCCAGGCCTAAGCACATAAATGTCACCTTTGCTTTACTTCACAATATTTCCAAAATTGAAATCAGCTAAATGTTTGCGTGCATCATTGTGTGCGTTCATCAATGTTTGTAATTATAGCTAGTGCACTCGTTAGGTTTGTACTTCTTTCCAATTCACCTACTTAGTTATTAAAGTACTAGCTCACAAGACTAAAATGTGCAAAACAAATATCAAACACATACATTAGACCCATCTAACAATAGAGCTACACAAATAAGTAAAAGTGCTACCTAACAACACCAACAGGCAAATCAGAGAAGAATTCAACAATAATGAAGCTAAAAGGAAGCACAAGTGCTAACAGTACCTGAAAATACAAAAGATATTCGTATACGAACAGTTTCATGAAAACAGCACTAAAAAAGAGCAAAACTGGCAGGCTTTGTCTAAAACGGACAAAACAAATTTTGAAAATCGAACTTGAGACTAGTTTCAGAATAACAGTTAGAAGAAAAACAAGCAGAAGTGTTACCAAGAACATACAAAATATGACGAACAAGAATAATAACTCAAAAACAGCACTGAAAAGTGCAAAAACAACAAGAGCATAGCTAAATAGCTAAATAACAGCACCAAAAACGAACAGAGGAGCAATGAAATGCGTGAAACTGTTAGCTATAAGCAACAAACATGAAAGATAAGATTTCATATCTTATCTTTCATGTTTTCCAAAAACGGGTAACATGAGGTAACATTAATGACTTGTTATACATAATAATTTCCAGAGAAAGATTCTGTATAAACAATGTTTTTCAATGTTAAAAAGTCGTACAATAATTTTGGTAAAAAAAACATTGGTAGAAAATCTCTATATAAACATATTTACTGTTAACGGCTGTATTAAAAATCTTAATTAAATAAAACATTGATCCAGAAAATTTACTATATGTCTTTGTCGAAGAATATAGAACGTAGAACTTGAAATTAACCATACAACATGTTGAGCTTGTTAATTTTAAAATTAATCGCATAGAATGACTACAAACATACAATGGAGCAATTCTAAAGTAAAGTCGCAAACTAATAAGAATTTTCTTATATAAATAATTTATGCGAAATTATGGAAACGTGCTAAATGCCACAAAATAAATTCATTATGAAGTTAACAAGACGCAAAATTGTGAGGAAAACTTTCTGTGGCCCTTCCTGCAAGCCTCGAAGGTAATAAGTTCTGCGATGATGATAATCGTTAAAAGTTTGGATCGCTGAAAGCAACGTAACGGGAAGTAAAATTTTTGACAAAAGTAAATAAAAATGAAATTGATTAATTACTGCGCAAAATTAATCAAAATTTCTGTAAAATGAACACTTTAAATGTATGAAAATTAAACATGAGGAAAAAAATTTGAATTGGAAATGATTTAGCAGAAATGAAAAAAATTTACAAAAGTTTCCCCCATCCCCCAGTTATACTGCTGCTGATGGCGTAGGCAGTTTCCAGAAATGTTCTGAAAATGTTTAATATAGTACTTTGTGACAAGTTCAAAAATTATTTTGAAAAAAAGAAAGAACATTTTCAATTTCTTTCAAATTCTTTTAAATTTATAAACAGTAACTTTCTTTTTTGTTTGACGTGTTAATGAGGCGATATCAAGAAGCAAACTTTTTGAAACGTTTACAGTATGCCTTGCATATGCTTCCCGTGAATTTGTAAATTGCTTAAATGATAAATTACTTGCTGTACAAAATTTTAATGAATAAAAAATTAAAATCAAGTTAAAAAGGAAAGAGTATTTTATAAAAAAATTACATGTTAATGTTGTTAATTGGTGCTTACCTGCACAGTCTTTTTTCTCCCCTTGATGACATCAGGATCATTAGCGATGTGCTCTTCGATTAAAATCCGTAATTTATCTGACACTTTGTTTTTGAATTTGCTTAAATAGGACTCATGATCCTCATTTTCTGTGTCAATTGTATATTCATCGGTTTTACCAGAAACACTGAAAGAAAAATATATACATATAGAAAATATTGTAAGTATCGTATTGTATTGTTCTTATTACGAAAAATTGAAATAAGAAAAACAAGATAAAAGTGCTTTTATACTTACACTAAAGTTGTGTAATTATCTGCGGATAAATTCATAGTCAGCTCATCTTTTAATTTGCGCAAACGTTCACCTGCATCGAGGTCTTTGTTGGTCAACTGACTTGACCATTCACGAAAAACCGTCAATATTTTATCATTTGAAAGTTCTAAAAATATGCAAAAGTGTTTTTTTTTTGTGATTTAAGATATTTTCTGCAATTGAAACATTTTTTTACTATACATTCACTTACCCAAAGCTCTGTTCACTTCTTGTTCGATTTGTGTTTGTCTCAATTTTTGTATTCGGCCTGTGAAATCGTCAGTCTGTAATTTTCCATCTCTTGCTAGGGATTGTACAATGTTTTTGAGTTGCCTTTCAAAGATATCGAGCAGCTGTAGGCATTCTCTATGCCATTTTTCCAATGACATGTTACTAAAACAGAAATTGGGAAACATTTGGTTTTGGACTTTTATTAGGTTTTTCTGCGTTGTTAGTGAATCAAATTGTAAATCGGTCTTAATTGGTGGCATGTTTGCTGCAAAAAGGTTTGTACATTCATGTATGCAAAATAATATGCTCTCTTTTTTAGTTTTGAATTTTCAGTTCTCAAAAAAAAAACAAATTCAATTGTAACAAAAACAAATAAGAAAATTATAAACTTCTCAGAATTGGCTTGATTAAATATTGGATTTTTAAAATTAAACTTTTCCTCAATACTTTCTGGTTTTCTATTCGATGACAGATTCCTTCGCCATAGCACATAAAATATTTAATTAGAAAAGTTTTCTACTTAATTTATAAATTTTTATTTATTGCAAGTTTAAAATGTATCTCGTTTATTTTAAAAAATTTTTTAAAATAAAAAAATGAATTTTTAAACAAATAAACTTCAACTTGGGCACAGTAAATACAGATGACTAACTCAGTAACTCAATAACTAACTTATGTATCATAATTACAATATAATTCATGTATGTTATATATCGTTTAAATAATTCGAAAAACTTTATTCCAATATATTCATTTGAGTTGAACATGCTGAACATACAAACTTAATTAAGAAAGTTTTTGATTAAAATCATTTTATCTTGCGGTGCTGATACCACAGATACTTTATTCGATAAAACACTCTAATAATTTACCAGAGAAACCAATATAGTAATGATATTTAAAAGAGCATTCACAAATTATTGCATATCTATACATACAAAATTTTTTACGATTATTGATGCTGTATTTAGATAATCTTTATTGACATTTGTGTATTTGCGTATTGTGGAATTGCATTTCCTTGCCAAAAAAGGATATGGAGAATATTTGCAAAAATATTTCACTTTCCCAGAAAATAAAAAAAAAATGTAAAAGCTTGTTGTATATATATTGTTGTTATTTTAATACAAAATGATGTTATTTTATCTTGTTTTCTTAAATATCTCAGCGTTTGGATTGAGGAGATACTTTGTTTATTTGTCGTTTATACGTAATGCTGCTTATGCAAAAGTCTTTAGTTAATCCGGCCACAGTGCTTTAATTTGAATTTTGTGAAAAACTTTTCAATTTATTTCAACAAAATTTTAAAATGAAAAATAAACTTTTTAAGTAAGAAAATTTTTGAAATTGGGTTAACTAATTATAAATTGTTTACCAAATCTTTTTTCAATTTGCGGGTTAAGTGCCATCAAAAATGCTTTAATGAGGCTTTTCACTTAAGTGTCACTCAAGTAAATTTGTTATGATTCGTTTTTCTAAATTTTGATTTAATGAAAATTTTAGTTAAATTATTTACGCAGGGAAAAGAAATACTTTAGATAATTTCATTTATACCATTCATAAATTGCACTTAAGTGGTCAAATGATAGCAAATATGTACTTCATATCTAAAAGGTATTTAAAGCGACTGGCAGAAATATCCTATAAATAAAAAAATTCACATTTAAAAATTTTCGTTCCATATTTCATATTGGGGGAATATCGGTGAAATATATTATTATTAATAAGTCCTGTTAAAGATTGTAATTTCAGGTTAGGTAATTTCAGAGTTTAATTAGGAATATTAATGAAGCGGTTATATCTTTTACTACCTAAGAAAATTTATTAATATAATTATTGTGATTAATGAAATTGTTAAAATAACATATTTAAAAAGTAAGGATTAAATAAATTATAGAATATCTAAATCAATGGTAAACAGAAGCTATGATTTTTTGAAAAGATTTATTAAGAATTATTATGTTGATTTATATACTTGAATCTTTTTGTATTTTTAAAGACTTGAAGTTATAATATCATTGCAGTATAATAAATAAGATATATATAAATATAGGTTTTATATATAGGTTTGATAAATTATCTCTAATGAGGAAAGAAAATCTCCTATCAGTAAGTATCACAACATTTATTACAGTTTCAAAGATATATATATGATACTTCGCAGAGGTACTATAGATTTTATGTTTTCAAGCAGATGAAGACAAGGATTAAGTTATATCATAGTTTGAACTGTTTTAATATTAATTAATATACCTTAATTCTTTTTACAATGTATTGTAACATGTATATATGTATAAATATATGTTTCAATTTTCGGTGTGATACAAATGGGCGACTAGTTCCAACAGCTTACTGATCTTGTGAAATTGGTATATAGATCGATTGTTTAATTTTTCATTAGCTACTTTGTTACTTATTTAGGTTGGAAATTTTAAGTTGGTATGCTACTGTAATATAAACATGATTAGAAGTTTATGAAACTTACTCATGTAATAATAATACATTTTGTTACATAGTACAGACGTAAACCATATGCTGGACTTATTAACACTTTCCAGCCATAGGGAAATGTGTTTTTAAATCGCGTTGTACTAGTTTCTAATAGTTGTAAGCAATATCGGAACTTATAATTAGAATTTCATTTACAATAAAAGCAGTAAAGGTATCATATTATCATTTACGAATTATTGTAATGCTTTATATATAAATAGTAACATTTTTACTTGTGAAGAGTTAACGAAGACAAGACAATTCTACGAATAATATTCTATATCTTCGTCTAGGACTACTGACAAAGTGACTACAAGATCTAGAATATTATTTCCTGATTGATCTGGTGAAAATACCGAATATGGACATATCGGATCTCAGTAACTTTATTTGGAAATCCAATATTTCAATAAGGATAGTACATGGAATTCTAATAAAAACAATGGGTAGAAGCGCTTGCCTCTTTCTGGCAACTCTAAGGAATCGCAATGGTTATCACAATGATGTTTATATTAATATAATTTCTGACCTTTAAATTTTAATATGACAATCCGAATAAAAACAATTTACACCTACATGTGATAGGCATACACTTTTTAAGCGTTTAATTTAAATTTTAGTATTTTTTTTTGGAAATTCCTGAATGCATATTTATTTACACATACACTGGTACCCACAATTTTTGACACTTACCGATAATCCTGTTTAAGCACGTATTGATATCGGCTACTATTTTCGTCTGTGCCATGTCCGATTTCAGTTGCCTTTTGCACACTCTTCGCATACCATTTATTCAAAAGGGAGGACTCATTGTCTGTTATGTTTGTGTCCCCCAATATGCGTGTGTAAATATCTTCATCAACGTGAGTGGGCAATGGCATTCGACCAATGCTGTGTCCAATAAGTGCCTAAAAAGCGGATATTAAAATGAAGAAGAAGAAAAGAAGAAGTCGTTTGTATAAACAATAGAACGTGTTGGCACGCCAGCAAGAGCAAACATTTTGAATGCTCTAAATGGCATAATATCAGTCAATACAGTATCAAGTGTGACAATATTACAGCAATGTTGTGAATATTGATATGTGATTTTCATGAACAAATATCCTAGATTTGTGAATTTTCATACTTACAATGAAGAAAACACTTTTCGAATTATTATAGCAGGTTTCTATTTCATGCAAATAGTCCCGCATGATGTACGGATCTTGCTCTATTTGAGTTATTTTTGTTGGTCCTGTTCCAAAATGCATGTCAACTATTTCAATCTAATATAATAAGTGTATTTTAGCATTTTATTTGCTCGTGAATGTTTGTTACATTAAATCTACCTCAATTTGCCTGTCATCATATAGTGACTGCAATTCAGGACCCACCAATTCCAATAACATACGTCGTTCCTGGCAGAATTCTTGAATAAGGCAAAAGAAGTTAATTTATAGTCTTTGCTTATGAATTATTTAAGGAATTTTATTGAAAATATTATTACTTCTTTTAAAGAAATATAATATTAGAACTTTTAATAAAAATATTTTATATCTTACCCTCTTTCAAACTGGATATATACACCTTAATAAGTAAGGGTTTCGGCAAGCGTGTGTTTCTGTTGTCCATGCCTCTAAGGGCGTTCAGAACGCCCTCATCAATGGGCACCGCCATTGTTTTTAATGTTTTATTATTGAATGGTACGCTTGAACAGTTTTAATATCTTTTTTATTGAAAAAATCCAATGAAATAAATATAATGAAATTGCTTTTTTCAGTTTTCAGTTGAAGATATGCTTCAATATTATTTCACTTTCTTCTCTATTGTTATTATTATTGTTATTTTCGGTGCTCTTTTTATTGGAAACGTTAGTTTTTTATAAGAACGCCATTTGTCCTTTAAACTTTAAGTGTGGCGCATAATTTCAACTTTTCATGTTATGAAAACTGCGTCCAAAAGCATTTTGGCCAAGTTTTCGCTCCTCTCCCTGCTGCAGTCCTCTTCGGTTTAGTTTATATTCGAAATTTTCAGTCTGAAAGTATGAGCAAAATCGAAAAGAAAATGTATAAATATTTACTGTCATTGACCATAAAAGTTGCTTTTAAAGGATAAAAGAAAGTAAAAAGTTTGCAAATTTATGTAAAAAGGGATTTAAACTTTTTGTTTTAGTTTTGATTTTGGCTACGACTTCATTGCATATTTTATTGAGCATAAAATGTCCTTTTTTTGTTTGTGGAGTTTATTTTGCGGTAGACCCGTACGCGGTTAGTATGAAAAGCTAATGCTCTGCACAAAAACAGGATTTGTTTTTAAGTAACAATTTACAATGCAACATTTGCCTTAGATTGTTGACTTTCATTCAAGTTGTGTACGTTGAAGATTTTAGCCTTTTCTTTCCAATGGAAGCTGTGTCCACAAGATAAGATTTGTTTTGTTTAATAAAGTCAAAATTAAAATGCTTTCACCTAAAAATTTTGTTATTCTGTTAAATCTTTTTCTGCATGTATACTATAAATTTACCTATAATTTAAAAATTAATTTGAAGTATAAATAAATAAGGAATAAATAAAGGAATAAATATAAGGAATCAGAGTTGATAAATAGAGTAAATCTTATCAGAGTTTCTGATAAACTTGATAAGATATACTGACAATGTAGTGGAAAATAAGTTTGCAGATAACTGAATAAATTGTTTCAAAGAAAGCTAACTTCTCTTATATTATTCTTGTTTCTCAGTGGAGCCTAGGATCTCAAGGATGGCTTTCTGTTGATTCCAGTCTTGCAATTTTTGTAAGAAAGGGATTTCTGTGTTTCTTCCACTTATGCATCAGTGCCGGGCACTCCCCAAGAACATGTTATGCAGTTTCTCTCGCTCTTCTCTACAGTATCTGCAGGCTGAGTTGGATTGAATTCCTAACTTATATATCATTAATCATATATTAAAGAGAGCATCGTGAAATATTGTATGTATATATTATATTAAATAGGATGTGATTGTTATTTTATAAACTATACATTTGTTAAATATAGGCTTATGGCAATAAGTAGAAGACTGTTAATAATCAATAAAATTGTTGTATATCTAGTTGTAAGTGCTCTATTTGGCTTTAAGTTATGGGTAGATTTGTCATAAAGGTCATTTTTACAAAATTTTTCACGAAGTGGATTGCCGACATAACATTGCATTCAGGAGAGGAAATTTATGTATTTTCGTAAATATTCTTTATGTAGACACATTTAAATCGGGAGCAACATTAATAGCACTTGTTACTACACTTCTCAGGTGTGCAAGTGGTACAAGTATAGTGAACCCTTAAATCGATTATATCAGAGTAGCCCTACCGAAGCTTTCTCTAGATATTATTGTTGTGAGCTAAAGGTTCATACTTTTACCTATGGTGCAAGACGACAATATAAGAGTCGCAGTTGAGTGCGTTGGTCAAACTGCAACTGTACGAGTGTAGTAAGTTATAACGAGTGTAGTAAGTCATATGTTTCACAATGATAAAGAAACACAGCCTTATTGTGCACATGTATATTTCACATCACAAATAATAAAAATCAAACTAGTTTTAATTAGTTTTATTTCGAAGTTTTAAAAATTTTCTTCCTAACTAACAACACGCAGTTAAGTACTACTTCTAAAAATTTAAAATGAAATTATATTAAAAGAGAAATATAATATAAAAGGAAAAATTTCAGGCATCAAAATGCCAATGGTGAACTTTACGTTTTGGTCAATTAGAGAAATGTTTTCATTTCAAAAGAATAATTCCTTGTCTTATTTTGTAGTCGATTTTTATTTTGCAATTCGAGTGGAAAAAGTTTAAAACAATTGAATTCAGTTTTACTATTTCGTGTTTTGTGCTGATTTTTAAAGTAAAATGATTCAGTGAATTTCAAACAATTTACTTTTTATTTTTATTTGAAAAGAGTTAGCATTCCTGAAAGTTGATAAGAGCAAAAATGATTTAAGTTAGCTTTGTTTTTGTTTCACATCCTTCAAGATCCTTTCGATTAAACTTACAAACTACAAGTATTTTGTTATTTTGAAATAAGCAACTAAAGTGTTCCAATGTAAATAAACAGATATTTTTCTTTTATTGTAGTCAACCTGATATAGTCTACTCTCAAGTGAAAGACCCGAAACAGAATGAAAATTATTTTTCTTTTATATCCGCACCACAATTTTAGTTTATTTACATTGTGTTCATTTTACGGTCGTTCACTTTAATCGATTGTTATTTTTTCCGGTCGAGTAAATTTATTAAATTATTTATGGAAATTTAGTAACGCATATTAGGGTTATTGGTTAAACCCATTTTATGCATTAATGTCCTTGTGGTTTTTCTGAAAAATAAGATTACTCAGTGGCCAATGGGCGGAGTAAATAATTTTTATTGAACAAAATAGTGTTATTGTTTGTTCGCATATTAATGGGAAATCACAATCAAATTTAATTACGTATTGAAATAAAAATTATAAAGTAATTTATGAATAAATTGCAATAATTGTTAAGGAAGAAATTTAGCTTAGTAGTGGATTAAACGATTATAATGATTTTTATTTTTTATGGATATTACTGTTCTATAATAAAAAATGCTTAACAAATGCTTAGTTTTAAATTTAAATTAAGAAAAATTATATGCAAGTAAGGTTGAAATTCATTGAATCGAACTATGGTTGATTTTTCCATTTGAAAAAGTGAGAAATTGAAATTATACTATAAATTAATTTCCTATTTTCAACTATAAATTACTATAAAATTACAACAACTATAAATTAGTTTTTATAGAATGTAACTTCTTTTTACAAAGAGTTAAGAGTTAAGAAAAACTAAAAAATTTGTTTTAGTTTGTATTAATCAAATTATAAAATTTGATTATAAATTATGCTGTTACTGTATTAGTAATTAAAGTTATAACTTTATGCTACTTAAGTAACCTAAATATGGCCTTATATCAGGACGGAAGATTCTGCTTGGAAACAATCAAAACGGTCTCCACACTTTGAAAATGGCCTCATTAAATCGTTAACTTATTTGTCGATATATTTTTATTTAAAAAAGTACAATTAAAAAATACAAAATTCGATGTAAACTCCTTTACTTCTCTCATGCTGGTAATCAGTACTCAACTTAGTTCAAATATATATATTAAAATAAATAATAATCAATTGCTAATAAAGAAAGAATATTAATAGAATAATTTAATAAGATAATTCTGTGGAAAACGTTTGTCTGGGTATTAGCTTATCTAATTTTGCCTGTATTTGTATTTTTACTTCATATATACATATAAAATGCTGCTTCGTAGCACTTTTCTTTATTGGACTTCATCGGAAATTTTTAAGTAGTTCTATTGTATGCCTTAAGTTTAATGTATAGTTTAAGATAAACATTTGATCTTATGATCTTATGACCATTAGTTAAATAATTAAACAATGGCATTTTGACTAATTAATTGACATTTTCTAGTTTTTGCTCTTCATTTTTTAGTTGATGGATGGGTTCTAGTTGATTAATAAGTTTATAAAATGCTTTAGAATCTTGAGGTAACCTTTAATTATTTAAAATTCTGTTTTTCTTTTTGTTATTCTCTCTAAAATACTTTTATGAGAAATATTAAAAGCGAATATATAAAAAAATTTCTTAAAAATTGCATCAGGTACTTAATATTTACAGTTGTGTAATAGCAATAAATAGTACTTGTATGCAGTTTTCCGCTGCTCAAGTCCTCATGACCCCAGAGAATATCGTATCAATCAATATGAAATTCACTTACTGCATGTCTGCATGGTATTGAACTAAGATCCTTTCAACTATGCAAACGTTATAAATTCAACTCTTTTAAAAGTTTACAGAAAAACAAAGCAGGAAATATGGTTCAGCGGAGAAGAACAAAAATCGCAGGCTAGGAAGAAAAAATTAAGTAAGAAGTACCACCTTTCTGCGCCATTATTTTGCAAACGGAAGCACTTAACAACGACGCGCACAACGTACGTTTGCAGGTTACTGGAACTTCCATTGAGTTTGCTTTCAATTTGCTAAAAGCATAAATCTGATTTCCTTGAAAAACATTTGAAATGTTTGTTAGGGAAGGATGTTGAGTTTTTCAATTTCCTTGATCGATTTAAAATGTATTAACTTCTAATCCTCGCTAATCTTTAATCTTAAAAATTACATTTATTACTATTTATTCTATTTAACGATAAGGTGAGTGCAGTAAAATTCTTTGCTCCATATTTGAAAAAATTTCAAAGTAATTATAATAATAATAAATGGAAATCTACATGTTTGTTTGTATATATGTATGAAGTACATAAAATATATTTAATATAAATAAATTCTTTATTCATAGCTAACATTCTATGTTAGACTTGTACCCATCTAACATGAGTATAAATTTCTGTCATCACCACTGACAGTTGATAATAATTGCAGAAATACGACACCGACTTCATTTAGCTCTGACATACTCAGGCTTTCATGTATCTGCCTTTGAGTATACGAATATTTATTTGTATCTAAGGTGTAAGTGTAGATATGCGCATGTGATATGTGTTTTCCGCTATCGTTGCTTGTAATGCTTGCGTCCGTATTCACAAAGTCTGAATTTCGAATTTGTCGAATTTGTCCTTGGTTGACATTTGATGAAATGTTTTGCCATTAAACGGAAATTGACTAATAATAGGGTTAATCGGTTTCG